GCAGCTGGCATCCTTGTACATGCAGTGCTGCCATCTTCTGTTTCAGTCCGTTATTACACTCTTAAATCCTACTACTTATTCCTGCGGCTTTTGTGATCTTACAAAGCTTCAAACGAAGTGTCGACGATTAAATTAGTAGACGATTTTGATAGTCAACGTAATCGTGACTAGTCAGCTAATCGTAGAAGCCCTACATACAGATGATTCAAATCCTGACTTCTTTATACCTCCAGTTTATGACATCACACTAAGCGATCCTTCCCTTTAAATCCAAGCTCTCTTCTTCCTCTCCTGTCCTTCTCTCTTATCTTTCTCCATCTCTGAGTGAAGTTAGCTCTCTTTCTTTCCTTTCTTTGAAATACAGCAGCTGGACCTTTAACTGTAACACACTGTGAGACAAACTGCACACAAACAGTTTGTGTGTTTGCTGATATTTGTTGTGCTCATTGAAACGCTGCATTTGAAATGACCTGACATATAATAAACCGTTACCCCCTTTATGCTCGCTCCTCTTCAGCAGGGCTAGCTAGATGCTGAAGTACTGTGACTTATTGCCCCGCCCACTTTTACCACTTAAACACAGTAACAAAGTATTTGTACTTTGGTAATGCCCACCTCTGTTGATGAATCATGCAGGATTTATGCAGTTTTTTTTGTACGCCCTATAAGAGAATGAAGCTCGTACACCAGGGGTGTCAAACTCCAGGCCTCGAGAGCCGGTGTCCTGCAGGTTGTAGATCTCACCCTGGGTCAACACACATGAATCCAATGATTAGTTCATTACCAGGCCTCTGGAGAACTTCAAGACATGTTGAGGATGTTACTAAATCAGGACACGTCTAAATCATGAAGGACACTAGGTCTTGAAGCTTAGAGTTCCCCACCCCTGTAGTACACAGTCACACTTTCTCTGACCCTCAGTGACCTCTGACCTTCAGTGACCTCTGTCCTCCTGTTGCAGGTGTGTGTGTGCTGCATCTCTCTGCACTGACTGTTTCTGCAGGTGAGTCGATGGAAGTGAAAACCATCAGTGAGACTCCAACAAGAACACAAATACATTTACTCTGTGTGTGTATCTGTCTGCCCTTCAGTCTCTCTGAGTGTAACTCCAGATCACAAGCAGTTCTTCAGTGTTCGTGCTCTGGTGATGCTGACTTGTGATGCTGATGATGGAAAAACAGTTGATGGATGGAAAGTGAAGAGGACCAGAGGAGGACTCACTGAGAGGTGTGGAGCAGCTGCAGGCTTTGTTCTTAAAAATTCTCGGTGTCAACTCATGTTGCGTAACCCCTCTGATGGAGCTTACTTCTGTGAAAGCTCATCTGGACATCAGCGTAGCGATGAAGTCAACATCATTGTTTCAGGTACAGATGTTCCAGCTGTGTCTGTATGACTCTGTGTGTTGGTGGAAGTCTGTCTCTGTATCACTCTGTTTGTGTCTCTGTTGGTCAGCTGGTTCCCTGATCCTGGACATCCCTTCATCTCCTGTGTGGACAGGAAGTAATGTGACTCTGCGCTGTCAATCCAGAGATGATGAACCGTTGAAGTCTTATTTCTATAAAGACAGGGATATGATTGGATCTGATCTTGAAGGAACATTGACTCTCACTAATGTTCAGAAGTCTGATGAAGGTCTCTACTCGTGCTCAGCTGGTGTTGATCAGTCTCCTAAAAGCAGACTGACAGTCAGAGGTCAGTTCAATGATCTTTCTCATTCAACCCCTTTTCCTGGACTTTAGTAGAAATGTCAAACAGATCAATGAAAGGTGGTAGGTTATATCTTACTTTATCGATACATGTTCTGTTAATGTATTCAGGTCACATAAACTAGAAGAGCCAGAGAAAATTATCCCATCATTATAAAGGTTGGAATATTAAAGAAGGAACAAAGAAGTCCATCTTCACTGTGGTGGCACAAAACCTCTATTTGACTTTAAAACACTGCTGGATTTACTAAAGAGACTCAGTGTCAGGTTGTGACTGACAGATGTGAACATTAGTTTCTTTTCAGGCCCATGTTTCTCTTTCAAGAGGAGAATATTTGAATGAATCACACAAATGTGAGTCACTAAGGTTTTAAGTGTACACCTTACTGTAAATTGCACTGAAGCAACCGCAGAGAAAAGCACATCTCATAGCTGCTGTGAAAGATACAGGGAGTCTGTTTGGAATGAGACCATCTCCTCTGCTGATCGGGCCCACCATAGTTGATACACCTGTCCATTGGTATTGTAGGTCGGCTAGCAGTCGTGTCTGTGTGAGGGGAGTACAGGAGAGGACTCAGGATGCAGCCATGTAGAGCTGCTGTACAGAGAGAATAGTGGATATTTTATTCAATCAATTTATCAGTGAATATGCAAAAGTTTAATCAGGTAGAATCACTCGATCCAATCGTCTGCAGTTGATCCTGATCTAACTCATTTATTCTATAATGCTGATTTCTGTCAGCGGTCTTCAGATGAATATGAGAGAAGAAGATGGGTACGCCCAGACCGTCACTGCACTCCTCTCCATCCTGTGCCTGATAAAGTCCATAAATAAAGACTTTCATGACAGATAGTCTCATTGTATCCTCTTCTACAGGAGGCGACACAGGAAAACCTGAAGCTCCTTTCTTTAGTCTTTCAAGAACTCAGACAGCTCTGTGTATCAGTGAGGAAGCTTCCACAGACTACTGGAACTGATGAACTGACCAGATAATAAACTGACTGAACCATCTTTGTCATTGTTCCCACAGATCCTCCCACTGATCCTCCTCCTAATGTAAAAGCTCCTTCTTCTACCCCTAAAGCAATCACTCATGCTCCCAGTACATCAAGCCCCCAAATTACCAGTAAAAAAGACCCTGAAAATACAAATAAAAAAAACTCTCCTGGTAACAATAAACCAAAAAAGAAAGTTGAGGAGGACGGGTGGTACTGGTCCCCATCCTCTGGCCCTCCTCTCACAGCCTCCATCATGTCAGGTCTGGTTTCTGTGGTTCTCCTGGTTCTGGTTTGAGTTCTGCTCCTTTGGAGGAAGCTAAAAGGTAAGAAGTGTGTCGGCTGAGTCACAGAGCACATACATGTGTGTGTTAGGAAAGTTCAAAGGTCACCAGATCTGAGCTGAAATCACTGATGTTTGTCTCTGAACAGGAAAGTGGGGACACACTCTGCCTTATGGAGGACCTTCATCCTACTGTCTCTGATTGGCTGCTGTTCTGTGATATCATTGGCCCCTCCTGAAGCTCCAGTAACCAGTATAAAAGCAGGGGGTGTGTCTTCAGAGTGTCAGCTTTGCTGTTGTATCTTTACTGCTGGGCCTGGGGTTTTACATGTTTGGTCTTATTATGCAGCACTTTGTGGGGTTTTTTTTAAGTGCTTTTTAAGTAAAATATTTTGGGATGTTTAAAGGTTTTCCTGCAGCTCTGCAATGACTTGTATTTTCAGACATGACAGCTGTGACTAAGTGTGTATTACACAGTTTCTCTTTTGTAATAATAAACTAGTAAAGTTTCTCACCACAAACATATTCATGTTTGAGACTTTGTTCAAGACTGCTGGAGAACAGCTGGTCTCCAACCACAGCACCATGACAGGGTTGTAGTCAGTAGAAAAAACAGAAGATGTTCCTGCTCATCAGTGGGATGATATGTGATTAAGACTGTTAAATGGATGTTAATCCAGCCGCCGACCACGCCCACAGTGCCTCAGCTCACCATCATGTTGCCTGTAAAATGTTTTAAAGTTAATGTTACAAAGATTCTTGTTTTTTCCTGCCCCTTTCCCCTCACTCTCCCTCACCTCACCAGACTTACATTGTTTCCATTTCTCTCCTTTGAAAGGCTCTAGTTTGCCCTCAATTGCACTCACCTGGCACACATTATATAAGGAGTGCACACACTTACAGATCACTCTTTCTGCTTCCCCATGAGGCAGCAGCAGAGTTTAGCCATGTGTGTCTCCCTTTAAGTTACGCTACCTTACCTTCTTGATATGTTGAAGTTGGGCACTGAGGAGGACTGAATAAAATAAAAAAACAAAACACACATTGTAAATATGATACTCACTAAAATCACTTTCTTTAACTTTGACTGATCTTTTCATTTTAAAATGTCCTAAGTTAGGTCGTTTAAACTAGAAGTCAGGGACATTGCAGCTGCCATTCCATCTTTGTACCAGTAGGTGTCAGTGTTAAACCACAGTTTGCTCTTTTGTTGGCAGTGTCCAGGTATGACATACGTGATAACTCTGTTTGATAACAGATAATATGTGAGATGTGTTTGGGAAAAGTTGGTGCACAGCTGTAATACTGTCAAGTAACAAAAGACTGCATAAGTATGAGGAGGAGTAGATAATGGTGACAAGCCCCGCCTCCCAGTCTAACCGTTCCTCTCCTGTTTATAGGACACATGTATAACTGTCCAGTACCAGTAACATAAATCAAAAAAGTAAAATCATCACGCTTCCATGAATAACTCTGTACCACAATAACAATAATTTTATATTGGTGTCATGACGATCTGAGAAATCTTAAATCATGACTTTAATTTACTGCAATGCTGCTTTTATATCTCCAGCTTCTTTACTTTGATATTTAATCAGTTCTCTAAGTGATATTTTTTCTTTTTTACAGGCATTTTGTATTCTTTGAACATCCACCACTTATTTTTATGTTTTCTCCTAAATGTTTGATCTTTGGATTTGTATCACACAAAGTTACAATGTTATTAGATGCTTTATTATTAAGATATTTGGGTTATATAAGGACTCGCAGTCCAGTTCCGTGGTGTAGATGAGTGTTTCTTTTGTGTCTTTACTGGATCCAGCTGTTGTGTGTATGCAACATAAGAATCTGTCTCCTCACGCCGTTCATCTCTGTCCCACTGAAGTTAATAACCAGATCACATATGTCTGCATGAACCTGGAAATCCACCATCCTAATGGTCTCGTGTCTTCTGTCCACTGAACATCAAACAGTACTGAGAGCATCTCTGCTGTGCACACTGTTCACCATCATCATGGATCCATTGCTGAAACTCATGAACAGTGATCGGTTGGATTCTGTGTAGATCAGGACATAACTGTAGTATGATCAGTGTTGCCTGTATTATACGTGACCTAAAGCCCCATCCTTCTTTTATTGAAATAATGTGAAATCTACTACAGCATCACGCTTCCGTCTGCAGATGATCAAGCTTGTTTTAAACTTTCTTTTTTTTAAAGAGGTTGCTGTTTGGGCATTCTGTGAGGAGCTTGCATGTCCTCCCACAGTCCACAGGTATGCATCTGAGGTTAACTGCTGAGTCTAAATGAGCTGCGTGGATAATTGTGGCTCTGAGTGGAAAAGTTCCACTGATCGCTCTGTGAATCAGACTCTTCAGTTCACTTCAGAGAGGAGGGTACTGATGAATGTCATGAGACCTTTGCACACACAATAATGAAGCATTTTTTCTGCCCTCATTCATTCTTTTCATAGTCAATGAGAGTCAGAGAACTGTGATTTATTGTCAATATTTAAAGTTTTATCCATCCATCCATTCCCTTCTGCTTTTCATTTTCAAGTTTTATTTAATCTTTTCATCACACAGTCTTCTTTTGCTCTTCCCTCTGTTCATCTTCATCGCCTGCTTTGCTGCTTCTGAAACAGCGTGTTATCATTACAGGACAGAGGTCACTTCCTGCAGGCGTGTGTGTGAATACCTGACAGTCAATCTGTGACCAGCCTGAGATCAGCTGCTGACTCTGTACCTGCTCTAATATCTACTCCATGTTTGAGGTGGGTGTTATTGTACAGAGTTAACTGTTATTGCTGAAGACACACGGGTAAAATCTTGGGTGCAGGAGGGGGCAGCGTTCACCATCAATGAGATATCTTCCAATCACTCAGTTGTAAGGGCAGCTTTTATTGTGGAAGGTAGTGATGGTAAATTTGATTCTTTTTCCTGAATCGAGTTTGAATGAGTCAATCACCAAAGTGAATCGGTTTTTTTGAGTCATTTGAGTCACTGAGGCTACGTCCACACCTACACGGGTATTTTTGAAAACTGAGATTTTCCGTTTTCGTTTTAAAAAATAATCCCGTCCACACGTAAACACTAAAATGAAGGAAAACGCTGCTAGGAACATGGCAAAGCAACAGGTGGCGATATATTCCTAACCGTGCAGAAATGTTGGCCAATCAGAAGTCTAGAAGCCTCGGTGAGAAATAGTAAACAAAGATGGGGCATAGAAGATGAACCGAGGTCGTGTGTGTGGAGGGACAGTAACTGTGTGTGTATATGTAAGCATTTAAACACTGCAGAGAGTGTAATCAACAGTAACAGTATTGTAGAAATTCATTTAACCGAAACAATAACGTGGCGCACAGTGTGACGTCAAAAAAGGCGCACACCTTTGACGCTGTGTTTTCTCCGTTTTCTAACCGAGATCAGAGTTTGTGTGTGCACAGACTTCAACATACTATACGTTTCTAGCCTCTAAAGTCTGTTAGAGTTCTACAAACTGTCCACTATAAAAAAAAGGGCTGTGGTGAAGCAAACCATAAACCTCCTAACACACGTCCCCCAAACCCTGCTACAGGCAAGCAGCGATCAGTGATCAGCATATCGACTGTCTCGATCAATGCTGCAATAAGTGTTATATGTAATCCTGAAAATGTTCGATTGTTGTATTTTTAAAGCTTGTAGTGTGTTTGAATTTTATTTTTCAGTTATCAGACTGCTTTAGGTCAAAGTTGTAGGTAGACAAAGGCTCAAAATGAAAAATAAGCACACATTTAACACAATTACCTTCAGTTATTATGAAAGTGCAATCTTTCAGAGTTTACTTCTTTTCCGATTACACCATTTGTGGTAATTTCTGGCAATATGGGACAGCTGGTCATATTTGCTCAGTCCAGCACACAACTAAAACTTGCAGGACACCGGCTGGAGTTCGACACCTGTGGTGTAGATGAACCATTACTCAAAAAAGTACATTTTGAAAAGTTTTCAATATATGAAGGAAAAATATTCGAGCACTCGTTTTATGTTTCAAAACTTTGGATCATAAAACTTAAAAAACAATGCTGTGGTCACCAAGTCTGACGAAAAGCAAACAGACGATGCAGCTCGGTCTGTTTGACCAGTGGTTCCCAAAATGTTCGCGCCCCCCCCACGCACGAACACATCTTCCAACCACACACACCCATATTTTGCTCCATTGCGGTTTATTTCACACCTCAAACATTTAGTAAACAATTAAGCAAATACAAGTAACCTGCAATAAATTACAGGTAGTAAGAAAATAAACTACTAACTCTTTTATGCTACATCCACACCTACACGGGTAGTTTTGAAAACGCAGCTGTTTCGTCCACACGTAAATGGCGTTTCGAATCACCGAAAACGTAGATTTTTTAAAACTCCTTTTTTGCGTTTATGTGTGGACGAGGAATACAGAGTTCGTCACACAACGTCAAAGATATGTGTCCTTTTTTTCACGTCACGCTGTGCGCCACGTTATTGTTTACGTGAGATGAATTGCTGAATGGCAGATAAACAGTATTTTGTCTCTATCTTCAGCCGTGTTGGGACTAACGCGTTATTAAGTAAAGCGTTACAGTAACTACATTATTATTGTGGTAATGAGCACGATAACTAGTTATCATGCCAAAATCAGGAACGCGTTA